CATCACATCAGGATGGATGACATCGTGGTGAAAGGGGGAGTGAGAAGATGAGATCACATGGTAAAACAGAGCCAGAAAGCACAGGGTGGGGAGACAGGAAGAGGGTCTTTTATAACAATCCACTCTCTTGAGAACTGAGGTCCCTTTAGGAGCTAACTGGAGTCTTCCAAGGGCACCACGTTCAATAACCCAATTACCTTGGGCTGGGTTTCATCTCTTAAAGTTTCTACCACCTCCCAACATTGCCATATTGGAGACCAGGCTTCCTTACTCAGTTTGGACAGTCCTCCTAAAAGCAGACATGGAAACAAGGACTTGGGCGAGAGGGATATAGAGATGAAAGATACAAACAGTTTATGATATCATGGGACGGCAAGCCAGAAAGACAGCTAGAGCAACAGTTGTCTTCAGTTTGACCAGTGCCGGAGTGATTAGCTTACCTTGGAGGTGACCCCGAGAAGCACAAGTGAGGGAATGAGCAAAGAAAGACAGGGGAGGTTTGGTAAGCCAACAAGGGTGTGGTTCTGGGTGGGCTGTGCTGTGGATGTTCACAGGGGACCCTGAGGGGAAAGGTGGGGTATCTATCTGCCGACTCCTGTCCATTGGTAGTTGAGAGATGACCCTGTAGTTCTTAATCCCTAGTAAATCCAGGCTGCCCTGTGCACTGGCTGAAGAAGCTTCAGGTGGGACCTGAGGACCACAGCAAGTTTCATGCAGAAGAGATGGGTGCTCCAGATGGATACTACTGTAGGGCAACCTGTGTGCCTGCGGTCTCAGAGGTTGACAGAGGGGACACATCTGCTGGAATGAGGGACAATTAAACAATATTTAGAAGACAGAATCTATGGATCTTGATGAGTGGCTAGGTACTGAGAAAGTAATAAATTAGGTGGAGCCTTAGACATCTGTACTTTGGATTTGAGTGTCCACTCATTGAGTTTAAAACAATCGCCAGAGGGTTAGGTTGAGGTTGGTGGTGGCCAGGAAGAAATGATTTTCCCTTGGGCATTCTGGGCTAGAGGTGTCTGTGATACAACTAAGAGTCATATTGGGTATGCAACTGGAATTTTCCTAATTCTGTGTCAAACCATGCAGGCTTCAATTTGACATATTGAAATCACTCAAACAGATTTTGTGGGAGTAAGTCTTAATGCTGATAACGAATGAGTATTTTCCTCCCTGCTAGAAGAGCACACTTAATCTGGTGGCTCAAGTGATGGCTTTTATTTTCTTTATTTTTGTTTTTATTTTTTTGGTACTGGGGATTGAACTCGGGTCCTTGCACTTGCAAGGCAGGCCACCAAAGCGCTGAACTAAATCCCCTGCCCAAGTGATGGCTTTTAAAGCAGCTTGGTGTCTCTTTCTACCTGCTGTTCACTTGTTAGTTGATTTTGAATCTGTTGGTGAATTCTATTGTACATTGTCTCCCTCTGAAAAAAGGGAGTAATAAATAATCCTTTGAGTTATTGCATAGCTAGTGAAAACCAAGATAGCATTTTAAAATCTATCCTGAGTTGTGGCCCACTGAGCATTGTATCACTTTGCTTCAGCTTGCCTTTAAAACATAGAGCATTCCAATTACACTGTTGTTACTGAACTCAGAACTGAAGTGAATATGCTTGTTTTCTAAAATGAAATTTTTATATGGTACAAGCTTATATTTGCCGAATGAAGTAAGCCAGATAGTTAGCTAATTATGGCACGTTACCCATACTGATTATATGTATTTTTATCTCCACAGGCATATATATTTGCATTTGGAGACATGCATCCTGTTTTTGCTCTATTTCAGAATGCACTTTTCAATAGATGTTGAAACCACTTACATTTTAATTTTCTGAAATGGTTTCTTTGATGTATATTTTATTATAAGAAGAAGCAGAGGACATCCAAGTCAATGGGGTTGGAGACAAAGATATGAAACAGGTAAAGTCTGGCTTCAGCTTTCTCTTTCAAAATGACCTTCCATATCCCTGTAGACCTTTCCATATCCCTGTGCTTACTGCTGAGAAGCCCAAAGGTTGTTTATCAGCTTCCATCTCAAGAGAGGTATTTGTGTTGCCATCACAAACCTGTAAGGCTTGTGAGTTTCAGTGTGCTGTTCACTGCAGCCTACTCATCTGTATAGTGTTGCTTGCACATGAGGCTCTGAGGTACTTGGTGAAAGTGGGAGAAACAGAAAAAACTGGTCAGGAGGAGGCCAGATGTTGTGGGCCTACTTCTTCCTTAGAAGGTGGGCTGTGCTGAGAATTATCTCAGAAACCAGCTCCAAAGGCAGACAAGGAAGGAGGAAGTGACACATGATGTAGTGGGAACTTCCCTCAGACCATCATGCTGAGCAGTCTGCACAGTCATATATGCTATCTCATTTAATTTGCTAAAAGTGTATTTTCTTAAAAATTCACTTGAAAGTAACATTTTTAGAGAAAAGCAGAATGTGTCCTTCATATGATTCCTGTTTCTCTGGTGTAGCCTGCCCGCCCTTGGGAGAACTTCCCTACACTCTTTTTTGTTCAATTTTTTTTTTTTTTTTTTTTTTTTTTTTTTTTTTTTTTTTTGTGAAAATTTTTTTTTTTTTTTTTTTTTTTTTTTTTTTTTTGGTAGCGGGACCAAACTCAGGACCTTGTGCTTGCAAGCAGGCAGCAGAACCACTGCCTAAATCCTTTGTTCAGTTTTAAGGACTAATTTGTTTTCGATTTTGTAGAAATTCCAAGCAAAAACAAGATCATTTAGTGATCATTTCTCTAAGCAAAAGAAAACACACACACAAAGGTAATAAAGTCATAGAGGTTTTGAAACCTGAATATTTGGAGACAAAGTAGTTTGCACAGTACAAATTAATGATGCCCACACACTGGCTTATTTTTGAAGTTTTTTTTTTTGTTTTTTTTTAAAGACAAGTTCTCACTGTGTAGTTCAGGCTGTCCTTCAACTCACAGTGATCTTCCTGCTTCAGCCTCCCAAGTGCTGGGATGACAGGTGTGGGCCACCATACTTAGTGAGACTGGATGTTTTTAGATTGCATTGTAGGTGGGATTCACCATTCATTCCTCTCTTCTGCATCTGCCTGGGACTGAGTCAAGAGGGAACATCAGCAAATGCTATAATGAAAGGGCTGCCTGGGGATCCCTCTCCTGGGGCCTGGTCATCCTGCAGCCATCTGGTGACCTGCCTACAGCCTACATTTTGTTCAAAACCTGAGCTCTTGTGCAATCTAAGCTTGTCAGGTGCATGTGCAGCTCAGTTGCCCTCAGAAACAGCTACACTTTGCATGGCCGTGGGCGGCAGCAAGGCACTTGTGTGCCCAACCTGCTGTTCAGCTTGGAGCCACCACTGGTTTCAATAATGACTTCAACAGGCAGTGCTAAGAGCTCCTCTATTCATTACAGCACCGTATACTCTATAATTAGTAAGGAGCATAGGACTTCACAAATATAAAGGGCTAAACAATCATCAGGCAGTAAAGGTGAGGCATTGAGATTTTTCCACCTCTTTGTTTCTTTCAAGTAAAAAATAATAAACCACAACTTCTTTCATTTTTTTGTCCTGAATAATCTAGGTTTGAATCACACCCTGGTCACTTATTAGTTGTATGATTTTCAGCATTTCATCTAAACTTCTTATGCCTCAGTTTCTCTATCTGCAAGATGGAGTTAGCCAAAATTCCTATCACATGGAAGTAATGTGAAGATTAAATGAGATAATTCATACAGAGCACTTTGCAAAGAGATCTGCTCATATAAAAGCTAGCTCAGTACATTTAGCTGTCATTACTATCATCATTTTGTTTTCAAGTGAAATGCACAGAAGTCCTAGTGATAGGTCTCTTGAATGTCTTTTCTTCCTTTCTTCCTTCCTTTCAATAGGATCTTGCTATGCAGTTCAGGCTGGCCTTGAACTCACTATGTAGCCTAGGCTGATCTCGAATTTATGGCAATCCTCCTGCCTCAGCATCCTAAGTACTGGGTCTCATTATGTAGTTTAGGCTGGCCTTGAACTCACTTTGCAGTCAGGCTTGCCTCATACTCCTAGTGGCCCTCCTGCCTCAGCCTCCCAATGCTGGGATTACAGGTGTCTGCTACAACCCCTGGCTGGTACTGAGGTTTAAACCCATGCATCGTAAATGTTAGGAAAGGGCTATTTATTGAGCAATGTGTCAAATCCTTCTTTTATTTTACTTTGAGGTAGAATCTCATTAAATTGTATAATTGTCCTGCCTCAGCCTCCAGGGCAGCTGGGATTACAAGTTTGTGCTCTTGTACCTGATTTAGCCCCATATTTTTCCCCTCTAGAATATTTTAAAGCAAATCTCAACCATCATGTCATTCACCATAAATTTGTCTTCTTTTTGGGTAGTGTTGGGGATTGAACTCAGGTCTTTGCATATACTAGGCAAGTGCTTTACCACCAAACATCAACCTCTGTTCTTTTGAGTCTTTTAATGCTAACATTCTAAAAAGCTGCTTGAGATAGTTTTCACCTTGAACCCCAGCTGATTAAAGTGACTCGTCACTGGTAAAACCTCTACAAATATCTAATCATCGGACAACTCAAACTTAGCTTTCTTCCACTTTTTGGCAGAAGCTTGGTAAGTTTTGGTAAGACCATAAATGAGGGCATGGATTTTATAGTCACCAGTGTATATAGAGATCTATATATTTCACAAAGCCTGTGTGTGTGTGGGTGTGTGTGTGTGTGTGTGTTTGTGTAGTTACTGGATATCAAACCCAGGAATCACTCATTTGGTTAGAGCATTCGAGACGAGCACTCTACACTCAGCTATATCTCCAGCCCAACAAACACTTTTAATACTTAGGTGAGATTTTGCAATACTTGAAATCCCACAGCTTCAACATTGCCACGCACATTTATAATGCCCAAATAATTAGCACTTGAAAGAAGATTTAATTCTGGTACTGAAATTATTTGTGGATGTCTGACTATAGGCAACTTGGTGAAAAGCAATTAGCAGATTCTTCAAACACATGACAAATCCTTTATTACTGTGCTTATAAGTGACATGGTTTACAGAAAACCAAATGTAATTAAGTAACATTGAACTTGAAATCTACCACAGACTCAAGGTATACAAGTTATACTTGGCAAGGCAAACTTTCTCAAACACTAGGTGGTTTCTGGTGAAAGATAAATTTCCATTAAGTTATTCCAATGTGTTTTGTTTTTTGTCCTACAGACAGTTCCTTTGGCAATAATTTCCACTTTAGCTTTTTATTATATAAAAATATAACAAAATTTCATTATATACAAACATTACATTACACAATGTACAGGTTAAAAACACTAAGAAAATGGCAAGCTGCAATTGAAATTAAACTCAATAGCATGATAAGAAAAATTAAATACTGCACACATTTCATAAAAATTACCTAAACTACATTTTTTTTTGTTTGCAAATACCAAACAGTACCAATGTGATTGGAAATAGCTTCCAACAACTTCATTTTAAGGCACATCTTGCATATTTATATATACAACACTGAAACTGGTCAATAACTTAGGGGCTTCTCAGAGTGACCTGTATATGTGTGTGAAGACATGCAGCATAGGGTTACACATTTTCATCGGTTCCCTTCTTTGGGGACATGTATCTGCCAGGGGGAGACTGGTAGAGGGGCACTCCGATCTCCTGCAGGTCTGGGAGCCTCCCTGGACGGGGCGGGGAGAGCAGGGTGACTGTCCGGTCGTAGTCTCTGTGCAGCACTTTCTCGTAGACGCTCTGAAGCCCCACTGTCTTGGGAAGCTGGGCCTGGTAGTAATTGTCTCTACGCACAGGATCCCGAGGCAGGGACGTACTCTTACAGAAGGTGGACATCTGGGCTGGCGGGTGAGGTGGGGGGTGAGCATTGGGTCCCCCACACGATGGGCTCCAGCAGCGGTCAGAGTGGCCCAGGATCTTACACTCAGCAGTGCACGCCCACAGTCCTAGCACAAAAGGGAAAGAGCACGATGGTTATCCCTGAGATCACACACACCTAAGTCTCCACCTTCAGAATGTCAGCCAAGGTCAGGGAGGCTGGAAAGGGAACTGTGTATAAAGATAAACCGTGTGATTTGAGAATTCAAAGACATCGTAATACAAAAGTTGGTCCAATTCTCTTGCCAGGGGAAAAAACTGACAAGCAGAATTCCCTCCTTGGATAACATCCAAGCCTCTGCCTGGAGGTGGGGTGAGGGATGGGTGTGCTTTACTCAAGTGGTGGAGTTCCCGCCACTTGACACTTTGAAATTCACCCTGTGAGGAGAGACCCAGGCAGGCCTGGAAACCCAGGAATGAAAAGTGGGAAGAGGGAGGGGCTGGGCAAGGAGACTGGGAGAGGGGAGGGAGAGAGGAGTGCTGAAGTCTGCAAGGAAGGAGTCCTCACCACTCTGCATGTGGTTGATAAGATCCTTTTTCAGAGCGTCCCCGCTGATGTCGGAATCACTGTCGTTGAAATCACTGTCCCCTTTGCCGCTGTCTTTGCCGCTGAACTTCTCTGCTTCTCGGCCAGAGATGGTGTTGAATGAGTGTCCCTTCCAGACCGCCACAGGGGGTGCTGGCTCCTTTCCGAAGCCCGGGGAGGCACCATAGGGCTACAGCAGGGAACGGGGAAGAGGTGGAAGGGTCGGACAAGAAACAAAAAAACAAGCAAGACAGGTTAAGCGTCCCCATCTGAGAGCCCACCCCATACACCTCCGATCTCCCTTCCCCCAGCCTGTCCGCGGAGCGCGGAGGGGGGCGCCCAGCTAAAGGAAGGCCTCACCTCGGCGTGCGCGCCGCGGAGCC